CGCCCGCACCGGCACCGCCACCGCCACCGCCCGCACCGGCACCGCCACCGCCACCGCCCGCACCGGCACCGGCACCGCCACCGCCCGCACCGGCACCGCCACCGCCACCGCCGCCATCAACCACCATGACTGCATGCCCCTTTTCCAGTAGGCCCTATGTGGTACATTGTTGAGATAGAGAAAATCTAGTCAGCATCCATTGCGGTTCAAACGTTTTATTCTTAACAGAAAAAAATCATTTCTGCACCCCACTCCCCACTCTCTACAGAATTTCTGGTTTTGTGTTAGCCCAGTATAGCTCTTCGCTCCACAATGGGCCCATTTCTGAGGGAAGGGTTGCATAAGTAGAGGCATGCAATTCAATCTACTCCCGCATCAACAGCATCTCCGTAACGCCTGCCACAACGTACCGATATCATCAGGAGTCTATCAATATTATAGTTATTATAGTTATTGTTATAATATTTATAGTTATAGATAGACTCCTGATATCATAACATCAGCAGTCTATTGATAGACTCCTGATAACATATACAGCCAGTGCAACTCATGTACTTTGATTTAACTTTGGCTCCAAGATTTAATCAGTCGCACCCAAGTCGGCAAACAATCGCATCTAGCGACTTGGGACCTAGGACCTAGGACCCCAAACGGGGGCAGACTCGCAGATGTTATATCTCTATGTACTCTCTCCACGCCTGAAAGGCAGCCAGTACATCGGACGGCTGGCGGTGTGGGAACATTGTTTACGTCACGTGATCAACACTGGTGTATTCGGGAAATTGCATTGAAATCGGCAATAAGTTAAAGAAAAGGTAATGTAATATTTCACCTAACTCAATTAATTCTCAGACACGCTATTTCTACGTCTTGCGTGCGTGTTTACGTTTCAACCTGAATATTATCCAGCCCGTTTGGCTGGATTCCCGTCCATTTTTTTTCAAATGTAGGCCCTACATCTTATATTTACGTTTTTATCGTCTCTCTCTTCTCTCTCTGTCTGTCTTGCTGTGTGTGATAGGTTAAGTGTGCCTGCTTGCTTCTAAGACGGAAATAGCTTTGTATATATACTTTTCTCAAGCCGCAGTGTAGGATACGGGGGTTTCTATACAGGACAATTCGGCTTATATCTGAGGTTACTCAATTCACGCTTACCATTTGGCCGATCAGCGTTATTGTGGTTAGTTTACGGGTTATAATAACTTGATTATAATAACAATTGGCGGTGTGCACTTTGTTACCATCGTGGCCTATTGCCCGCCTCGGCCTGTCTTCTTAATTTAATCAGCAACACACTGCTCTTGCTGGGCTGGCAACCATACATAACAGGCTGGCCGTGTTCATGGTATTACATTGCGCGATGGAGCCAAGGGGTTTCTTGCTATCTCCGGGCTGTGGTTAGGAGGGTCACGTGATATCAGTTGACTAATGCTTTCAAAATCAATTAGATCGATCTGGAACTTGTCGTGAATGTGTATGCTATCTCCGTCTGTAATCTGGATATATAGGTATTGTGATCCACAAAAATTAATCTATGGTGTGGGGACAGATATCACGATGCAAAAACCCTAACCCTAACCCTAATCCTAACACTAACCCTAGCCCTAACCCTGACCCTAACCCTAATCCTAACACTAGCCTAACACTAGTGCTGCCACGTTGCGGTCACCTCCCTCCACGCCCGGGGGATAGCATTACCCCATGACCAATGCCCAACGTGATGGCCATGGCAGTTGTGAAGATATCGCTGACACACCACGTGACAGCAATATTTGTCTAGCGGCCTGGCCCGGACTAGTTGTAGTTATGTATATTATAGTTATATATATATTAAGAGCTCATATAATAGAGATCTCTAGAAAGCTATAATAGAGCTCTATTGTGAGCTCTTGATATATATAGACTGCAGTTAATCCGTCCCGCCAGTATGTGAAATACTGACATCACGCCCATGCGCAACAACGTCACTATTTCAAATAGCGCGCTGCTAGCAATGTAGAACTGTTACATTACTCACGGCGTTTTATGTCAGTATTCTACATGGGCTCGGCCAGATTATGTAAACATTTTACCATAGATATACACAACACAATAATAGTTTGTCCGATCGTGTTCCTTTTCGCGCAATTACAATTATGGGTATATGACGTCACGGACTATGCCGATATCCACTTACATAGGGTTGCAGGATAGTATCGTTTATGATAATTTATATTAAAAATATTTTTGTGAAAAAATGTTAGTATATTTTATATTTTGCATTAAAATTCACCTCTATAAAGTTAAGTAAGACTTCGTCTTTCATCCACAATGCATTGTTTATTTCATATACAACAGTCACCTGTCACAAGTGCTCGCTCTATTATAAAAAAAAGTCCATTTTCTATAAACTAGAAAAAAAAACGTGCGTTATAAATTTATACACTGAAATAAGCAAATATCCGGTGGACAGGGGTCATATACCCTTTTGATCTACTGCCAATTAAACCAGGTGAACAGTAGACCAAGTCGTTGTAGACGAAGTCGCAATTTACCATTATTTACACCGTTAAATGGTCCCCTGGATAGTTCTCCTTAAATACACGAAGAGATATATAACATTACAACAAACAAAATATTTTTTTCAATCTCAAACATTTCCAAATCGCCTAGGAATCATTTTCAAGTAAAAAAAAACATCGTCCCAAATGTGTGCGGACTATTCTTCAAGCCCTTAATTTATCTATGACTTCTTAAATAAAACTCAATATAAAATTACATTGGGATGAGCATTGTACCACACTTTACTTTGTATGATACGTCAGTTATAGAAAACTTTGCCGACTTCACCTGAAGTTAAAATGGAGAGTGTTATATTATCATTGCTAACAGTGGTATTAATTAGGCAGCAGTCTTTAAAATAAATAGATTATCAGTAACGAAACAACGTAACGATTGCATGGACAATCTATGAAATTAGAAAAATATTGACAGAGCAAATAAATATGAAATGGTGCAACGTTTAAACTCTCCTGATACAAAATTAGTATAGTTTGTTAAGATGTTATATAGTTTTGATAAACAATATTAATTAATGTGCCTACCAAATATCTGGTCTCGCTGACACTGTCGGGATGTGTTTTTTGTTCTTGCTCTTGGCCGGATGGTAGTGGAGCGCTTGATGCTGCTGCTGCTGCTGCTGTTGCTGCTGGGTGTGCTAGTGTATGCGTTTGATGCAGTATTGTCTGGAAATATATTCAAGTCTGCAAAAAAATATTATTAAAAGTTACATGTTAAAGGCGTAATAAGCCCATTGATTATGCAATGTTGACGAATGCTAAAGTAACTGGCACCTTGTGTAGTTAATAAGTACATAACCTAATAGCTAAATGCGTATTAGTTTGTCCAATATCACTGCTGGTTACCTTTGCAAACAAGACTTGAAATCGGTTGTTGATATGTATCAACGTATCATTTACGTGCCGTAAATGTCATCCAGGAGTCAAGTGATGACGTAAACATTTGTGCAGCCCGTATGTTTTGGACGCCAGATAAAATGGAGGTGTCAGCGGTGTAACCACGGCCATGGACTAAACATAGAAATGGAGTAAAACACACGTACTAATCACGGACGCACGTGGACAGCCCTGACAAAAAGTTCCTTATCACGAGCGTCCATGTTTACGAAATCACTGATGATAGCATTGCGTACGGCCGAGCATGCGTGCAAAAATGTCCGGTGCACTATAAATCTGTATCACACCCGCTTCGCCGGCAGCAGTTTGAAACTGTAAACAACTGATTTTTGGACTGCAGATTTCAATTAGGCATTTCTTAATGACCAGCGGTGACATTGGACAAACTAATACGCGTTTGGATGTAAGGTTATGTATTTGTCAACTACACAAGGTGCAAGTTACTCTAGCATTCGTCAACTTTGCATAAGCAATGGGCTTATTATGCCTTTAAGGTTGACATACCACAGACATTAAACAGTTTGGCGATTATACTCTCCCTTGCTAACCTTTGAATTCAGAACAGTTTACAATGAAGCATAAAGTCCGTCGCACACCAGCCGATTTTTCACGCGATTTGATCGGCCCGATAAAAATTAGCCGATATCGGGTAGGTGTGCGCGTTCATTTGTAGACGATTTTACTTACGATTATTTTTATCGGGTGATCGTTCCAAATCATGTTTGATTTTGAACCGATTATTTTGAAGCGATTTTGTGTAATCCGACAAGATTTTGTGGTGTGCGCGTGAACTCGTGAAATCCTCTACGATAAATATTGAACAGCCAATAGCTGAACGTGCCCGTGTCACATGACATTCAAAATGGCGACTACTATAGACAAAGCGTGGACGAACGAAATTGAGGGAGATTTAAATAATCAATTTTATCGTAGGTGTGCGGGTGTTTATCGGAAGGCGTCGCGATAAGCCGATTTTACAAACGATGAAGAGATTTTTTAATCGGACCGATTTTTGGGTAGGTGTGCGACGGCCTTAAGACCAAATGAACGCGCACACCTACCCGATATCGGCTGATTTTTATCGGGCCTATCAAATCGCGTGATAAATCGGCTGGTGTGCGCCGGCCTTAAGATGTCGGCGTCTTGTCGCGTCTGCTTTCAGTGAATGGCGTTACTATTTTCGGATGTTGGCGCCTGGCAAGCGACTTATAATAGCGAGCAATGAGGCTGAATTCCAGACCAACTCTTGATCGAACTCGTCCGCATACTCACTTTTCATTTCGCAAAACCATGCAGCAAGCTCGCGCATAAAAAAAACTGACAGGTGGACTATTAGATATGCAAGCTCGTGATCTTATTTAAACAAATGGGTAAAAAGCTGGTCGATAATTTTGTTCAAACAAGGGGCGGAGACATTAAAGATATGAATGCCGACTGAGCACGACACGGATTTTCTCCACCCCGTACGGTATAATAACCGGGATATGAGTTAAGTAGAACGTTAACTTACTCTCGTCATTAACCCCAACAGCGTGTTAATTACGGAGACAGCAAACTAAAACTGGTTTTATTGTGACAGGATATCCATAACCGCTTCACATACATTACCTCTATATACGGACAGCAAATGTTGAGTAACAGACTATAGAGAATTTCTGTGTTATATATTTCGTGCGTTTTAGGGCAGTTCTACCCTGACCATTTCTACAGTCGCTAAAGAAAAACCTAACCCCAACTCTCCATAAACATTTGCTATAAATAAAAAAATCTATATGGGATTCGGCCCGAAATTTTATGACCGAAATTACGAGAGAGCGTTTGAACTACGTGTGAACTGTCGGCTGTTTGATCAAGTTTTCCGCGCCCCGTGCAGCTACTATATATAACTATATAACTTGACTATATATATATATAACGCGTCCGTGCATCTGCCGATATTTGCACAGCTACGTACGTCTTTGATGAACACAGGGTTAATCAGAGGTGAAAAAGGTCGCATGGAGGACTGCTACAACATATCAATGAACGTGGTATAAAACGCTGTTTTAGTCGCTTCAGCACTGTTGATACAATAAAATGTCGGGAATGCTGAAAAAATTACTGCCCCATCGTGGAAACCCTTGTGATACATTTAGGATATAATCAGGGATGAATTATAACAAATTGACAATTGGACAACCGTGAGCGCGGGCACGGGTGCGTGTGACGGCTTGATTTGGACTGATGCTTTTGAACTGAGCTGCGTGTGCCTACCTATTGTCAGTGGGCGCAGCTGCCTTCACTAGTCTATTGGTCAGTAATCACACCTCCCACCAGGCTCACCACTACTGATTCAATCAGTGATGAAACACCTGCACTAG